AACATCTCCATTGCAAATCTAAGAACGTGATTTACCTAGTCACTTGTAATAAATGTAATGTTCAATATATAGGATCCACAAGCAACGAATTTAAAGTCAGATTTCGAACCACAAATCGGCTATGAGTACAAAGAAGAACACTTGTGAGGTCGCGATACATTTTAACAAAGAAACTCATGTTTTGTCTGATTTTGATTTCGCTATCATCGAACAAGTTTGCAATTTTAGTGACAATAATAGCCTCGATCATCGCTTGTTAACAAGAGAAGCTTATTGGAGTGCACAACTCTGCACCCTTCAACCTTACGGTTTGAATAAAAGATCTGAGTTCAACTCCAAGAATAGAATAAGATATAATTAATACCACAAATTGCCGTTTAGTTTTTTCAAATACTTTTGTTTCTACTACCCACAGGTGTTCTTCTTACGTAATCATGGTTAAATTCAAAGAATATAATTATATAATCGTTCAAGGGCTTAATCAAGGAATTTGTTACAAGGCTGAGAGTATAGCCGCATTCAATACGGAGTTCAGGGGCTTAATTTTAGGATTTTGTTATCAATCATTCAAAGGCTTTTTATTCGGATCCTGTTACCCTGGAGTAATATTGTACACTAGAAAACGCTTTAGTTCAAGGACTTTGAGTTAGGAATTTGTTACGAACTATATTGTTTATTTATTTCCATTGTAATTTCCTTGTAATTTCCTTGTAATTACGTAATACTCTAGTGGTCCGGTACCTTTTAATTAGCACCTTCTCTAGGCCATTCATTTTATTTACCAGTAATTAAGAATTTTATTGTTTGTAATTTTTAATATTTGTTTGAATTGTATTCTTGCTTATATAAGACCTAATTTTTAAAAACATTTTTATTCCAAGTATTTTTAATCCTGTAATGTACTGAAGAAGCCCGAACGGGCGAAACGTTTACATTAAAGTTTTGACATGGTAAGAAGTTCGCTGTTTGCTCCACTCCACACAGACCGAAAATGGACAACAATTTCACCCATGGCTAAATCGGCATAGCTACAGGCATTTTTAGGTCCCATAGCAGTACCGTGAATTTGAAGATAAAATTTATCATTGAAAACCGAGTGATTGCTTTTAAGGCATATCTCTACGGCTTCTAAAATGCAACTGGTAGATGGTAGCAATTGATCTCTGGTTTCAAGCGCTCTCTTAACTGCTCCTAAACCTAGTTCATTATCAATGTTGGGGAACATGGAGACCACATCCCAAGAAACTAAGAGGGTACCTTCGGGAAAAGGACTCTGCCTATTAAGTTCCTGTATCCTGTTTAGCAGGTCAGTGGTGTCTTTAACGAAAGATGGTTGTTTTCTAGCTAATGGTTGCAAATAGAATTCCGTGAAGGCTGACAGGTTCTCAATAGCTGTCCCACAACATGATGTAATTAGTCTAAGCGGGTTGTCTTTCTTATGCGTTTTTGATATTTCCAAACGCGACCCCGGGCCTAGCCTTTCTATTGACAATCCAAGAAGCGGCTTTTGGTGAAATCTCACTCTTTTGCAACCATTTAGAACACCATTGTTCTACCAAACCTAAATGTTTAGCAGTGGGATCTGATGGTAAAACTTTGTAATGTAACGGATTGTTAAGCTGACCAAGCATTTTGCTCTCATATTCCACGGAATTAATCAAAACGAATCGGGAGCCCTTATCCTGTGTTCTAATAGTTACGTCAGTATTCTTAAGTTCGCTAAGCGCAGAACGCTCACCCTTAGATAAATTATCACGAACACTTCTAATGTTACGAGGATTGAGGATGTCTTTTCTAATGTTCGATAGAAAGAGTTCAAGTTCTGGGAATCTAGAAATTGGTGGTTTCCAGCCTTTTTACCCGGTATTGATGGCAAGTGACCCTGGCTCTCCTTATTGGCAGCTGGCTCCTCTGGTTCCCTTTCCAAAAAGAAGACAGCAGTTCTAAGTCTAGCTTCAAAGATTCTAAATCGTCATGAGCCTCTTGCCAGTAGATGTCTTTTGGTGCTGGACAGAAGGAAGGCCCTTTACGCAGCAACTTGTTATGGTCCTCGCTTAAGTTGAGTGATCCTAAGAAGTTCATTATTATCTTCCACCGGAATTAATATCTTCTCAATCGAAACAAAAACTAAGGAGTATAATGGAGAAATAAATCGTAAAAATTACTGAGACATCCAAACCACCGTCATACTAGGCTCGATGTTTCCACCGCTCTCTTGTGTCCGGTCTTCGTTCTTACCCGAGCGTTCTGGCACCACAATGATGATTTAGATGAAATCCCAGATAAAATTTATCACACAACTCTACCGACTCTTTTGTGTATTGTATAGTACATGCATACGAACTTCCAAATGGATCTCATCAGTTGCCGTGTGCGGTATTGTAGTGGGTTTATAATAGCACGAACTTTCCATGATATATTTCCTTGGTGCGGATCAAAAATCCATCATGTTGGTTGAATTACAAAGACATCACAGTCGATCTCTAAAGCCTGGTTTAGTATAACCCTCACTGCCGTCAAAATCTACACAGAAACGACTAATCAAGAATTTCTCAAAGTACGATTACTTTTAACTCTTTCTCGTCCCCAGGGCTCCCCGGGGCTAGCTGGAAAACAGGTACTGGACTCTGGACTTGACTCTGGACTGCAGAGTAGACTGTTGACTAAGTTGCAAATTTTGATAACAAGTCTCAAACTTATAAATTAAAGACTCTGCACTAGTCGTTGAGACTCTGGGTTGGCCTTTACAAGCACATTGTTGTGTGGAATTTTCCTGTGATGAGCTTGGTGATCTTATACACAGTTCATTGCGTTTTGCTGCTTTCTCTGCCAGGGATGCTATATATGTTATCCATGTACGTCCGTTTGTACATGTCCGCTCTTTCCAGACTCTTCGCTTCCTTGTTTGTTGTTCTGTACAGCTCTTGGTACCTTTCTTTGAGTCGTTGGGACTTGGTGTCCTGGACTTTCCTCTTTAATTTCCTTCTGCTTTCAATGGCTTTCCAGGTATCTGGTGACATCCACTCCTTGGGCTTCCGCTGCTGATGGCCCAAGCACGCTTTGCAACTCTCACTATAAGCAATAACAATGTTCCCCCAGTTCCTGTTGGTCTCCTCATCTCTGCTATCTTCCTCCTCATCAAGATCCACAAGAGCCTGAAATCTGTTGTACACTTCAATCGATCGATCGATCGATCGATCGATCAATCAATCAATCAATCAATAACCAGGATGAATGATTTCCTCACAGTAGGGTCCTTTAGTTGATCTACATCAAAGCGACAGAGTTTTCGGGTTGGGAGGCCTGCACTCGATACAGGCTATCAAAAGATGGTGGTCGCTACTTACGTCAGCCCCTCTTCTCACCTTGACATCTTAAAGAGACCTTCGCCATTTGCTGTTGATCGATCAATCTGATTTTTGTCCCTACCATTTAGAGAACACCATGTGGATCTTGTGGATCTCCTGATGCGGGAAAAGGGTGCCACCAATGACAAGATTATTCATTGTACACAGATCAACAACCCTTTCCCCATTCTCATTCATAGTCCCACATCCATGCTGTCCCATTACCCTGTTATTGCCTGAGTTATCAGCACCAGCCTTGGCATTGAAGTCTCCCATGATGATGGTAAGATCTTGCGTTGGGCCGACCCTCTCAATCTCAGATTGGAGTCTGAGATATAAATTGTTTTTTGTATCTTCTTCGCTGTCATTGGTTGGAGCATAACACTGAATCAATGTTAAGTTGTATGTCTTCCCTTTAACCTGGCCATGATGAGTCGACTATTGATAGGCTTCCATTCTAAGAGTGACCGGTCTGCTCCTTTCTTAAGAATGATTGCCACGCCTTGATGATGTTGACCATCATCGCGCCCAGAATACAGTACGGTCTCACCTGACACGGTCTTCAATCTCCCTGACCCTGTCCATATGCTTTCACTTACACCTAACACATGTAGGTTGTAACGTCTCATCTCTGCTGTGACTTGGGCAAGTCTTCCAGTTTCGTACATAGTGCGTACGTTCCAGAATCCAAGCCTGATTTTGGTTTTCGCATTCAGCACTTCCAACTTCATGCCAGCAGCTTCCTTGCGGCTTTCACTGCTGGCTGTCATGCGTTTCGAAGAACTTGGAAGGCCTTCATGCAGGGTACAAGTCGCAAGTACTGTATGTGAATTCGTGCTCGGATTGGTATTGTTTTGGTTGTGAAGAAAAAGGGAGGGGACAAGGGGGAGGGAGTGGGGGAGTTAAAAGAGAGGGGAGGTTTTATTAATAAATTTCTTGCTCCAAAAAGGGGGGCTTATTTGAGGGGGGGGGGGGGGGGGGGGTTAATATAGGATTTACGGTAAATAGAGCCACGATAACGATAAATTTTAAATTTTGTAGATGCAAATTCCAAAAAGGCTCTTCACATACGAATTAAAATGTTCTCGCGTATAGACAACGCGCTAGGATAACCGGGAAAAACCGTCGTACTTTTTTGTACTTACCAGGCTTCAGTTCTTCTTTCAGATTTTCCGCTACACGTAGAACTAAGTCTTCTAACGCGTCGAATCGGCTTGAAATTTCAACTCCGCTTGGTAATTCCTTAATTAACAATGAAAGTTGTTTCTGCATTCTTTCTATGTCCTCGTTGGTAGGCATGTTTTCCAACAATTCGTTCTTCTGTTCCTCAATTTTTGCATGAATTGTTTCCAGCTTAATTGTATCCAAATCCTTGATGAGGTCTTCCACATCGTTTTTGTTGTAATCAGCTGAAAACCTACAGTAAAACAAAGAAATAATATTGCCAAGTTGAGCTAGTAAGAAAAGGGAAAGTGAGACGACTGTATCGTAAAAAAGGTTGTTGTTGGTCATCGTGGTAAGATAAAATGTCGGCCGAGCATGCGAGGTTTATAATTTTGTTCGTCAAAGAGCTCAGGCGGGATTAAATTTCGTCTGGAGTTTACGGTCATATTTATTTATTTCTTTGCGAGGATGGAGCGTGGCGGAAAAGACGGCGCGCTCGTGGCCTAATGGTATAAGGCGCTGACTTTTAAATCTGAACTTCGGAACTGAGGGCGAGGGTTCGAATCCCCCTGGGGTTCTTTTTTCCTGTTTTTTTTTTGTTCGAATACTCCCGAGCCGTTCTTTTTTTCCTTTGTCTTTTTTGTTTGTTTTGGGTTAATAACACTGACTTAGACATAAGCTGCCGTCAAAATGTAGACAGAAACAAGAACGCCTACTCAAGAATTGCTCCAAGCTTTATCCGTGACGAATATAGTACCTCATAGGGACTTTGTATACCGTCACGAAATGTAAATGATTCAAGTATTTTACTCAGTTTGTGTAGTTCAGTAGTTGTGGTAGTTCATGTAGTTATTGTAGTTCGTATGGCTCGTATAGTTCGTGTAGTTCTTGTAGTTGCTGTACATATGTAGTTTCGTGTAGTTCGTGTAGTTCTTCTAATTCCCCTAGTTCTCGTAGTTGCTGTAGTTCTAGTAGTTGCTGTAGTTGTTGTAGTTGCTGTAGTTGCTGTAGTTGCTGTAGTTCCTGTAGTTCGAGTAGTTTCTGTAGTTCTTGTAGTTCCTGTAGTTCTTGTAGTTGCTGTAGTTCCTGTAGTTTTTGTAGTTCTTGTAGTTCTTGTAGTTGCTGTAGTTGCTGTAGTTGCTGTAGTTCGTGTAGTTCCTCTAGTTCGTGTAGTTCGTGTAGTTCGTGTAGTTCGTGTAGTTCGTGTAGTTCTTGTAGTTCATCTAGTTCTCTTGGTTGCTGTAGTTCGTGTAGTTGCTCAGTGTAGTTCTTGTAGTTGCTGTAGTTCGTGTAGTTCTTGTGGTTAATTCCTCTAGTTCTCGTAGTTGCTGTAGTTGCCATAGCCAGAAATTCCGAACGCGCGCGAGCATTTAACCGTGACGGTCCGTGACCGTTAAAAAGAAAATGGCGGCTCCAAACTTACAGAGATTCGTATGAAGTTGAAACAAACAACAACAACAATTTTTTTTATTTGCATTTATAAAAATTAGGTTACATTTTTTGGATAAATTATTTTAATAGTAGTTCGTAATAGTATTTGAGTAATTAGCTAATTATAGTAAATGCCTAGAGGTTAAATGAACTGGAGGGTTTTCTAGTTAACCTCTAGCCTGTTTATGTTAAATACGATTATGTAGCTGTTTCTATACATTACTTAAAAAGAAAAAAGAAAAAGAAAAAAAACAGAGAAGAGAAAAAAAAACAAAAACAAGGAGAACAAACAAGAAGTACATAGAAGTAGGGGTCATATAATAAGATTACAGTAGTCATTTACTTATACTGTTCTGTCAGTAGATAATGTTTAATTTTTATAGAGAAGGAGAAAGTATTAAGTTTTTTTTTAAGGAGTCTGGAAGTTGTTGCCAGTAATCAATTGCCATAAAGGGGATAGCATGTTTACCTATGTTTGTTCTAACGCGCGGCTTATATAAATTATTGATATATCTAAACCGTGGCGTAAAAAGGACATCTATCCCTATCCCTATCCCCATTAAATCTCTCGGGAATGGTTGCAAACCAGCAATAAGGTCTATGACACCGCTTCAATATTTACTAAACTTTGCGTTTATTTAGACAGCCTTAGAAGTTATCAATGAACAAGAAATTCGGGGATTGTGTAGTGCATTGATCAGTGGCAGTCATGAAAAAAAATAAACAAAAAATATCGACGAGTTTTGACACGATCGTAGTTTTCGTGAAAGCACCTGTAAAACCGTGAAAAAGGTCAACATTGAGGTTTCACCTTGATTCATATATTTTCAGTTTTTGCGAAATCGCGTTACTGTACTTTCTTCTAGTTTTTTCCATGAAGTATAAGGGTCATATGATAATAGAATGAGCGGTATTTTTTGTAAATAGATATCCCAGAAGTAGCTAATTTGGCTACGGGAAGTCCATTCTTTAGTTTTCACATAAATCATATCCTTAATTTAAAGGTCCCAAAATATCTCCAAATCCGTCTTATAGATTTTTGTGAAACTCCGCTTAGAGGAAGACAAACACCCAAGGTATAGGTATCGTAGAGCATTTCCCTAGAAAATGCGGTTGAGGGCTAACATTCGACTCAGAGCTAAAACAGGTGTGACGTCATTATCGACGTGATATTCAATCCGATCTCCCCCAAAAAACATACCATATTGTAGTTCAGTCTATATGTAACACATGTGTTATAATGGATATGAAATTGAAATCAATCTGTTTAGGTATGGGAGGTTCAAAGTTGGAAGGTGCTCATGCAAAAATATTGGGTTCAGCCACCTTTTATAAAAACCCTTCAACTAATGATTAGAAAATGTTACTGTTCTGCCTTCAGATAACAACAGTCCAAATTGAACTGACTACCAAAGAGAGACAGAACTGAGTTAAAAACCCTTCAAATAATGATTATAAAATGTTACTGTTCTGCCTTCAGAAAACAACAGTCCAAATTGGACTGACTACCCAAGAGAGACAGAACTGAGTTAAATAAAAACCCTTCAACTAATGATTAGAAAATGTTACTGTTCTGCCTTCAGATAACAACAGTCCAAATTGAACTGACTACCCAAGAGAGACAGAACTGAGTTAAAAAACCCTTCAAAATAATGATTAGAAAATGTTACTGTTCTGCCTTCAGATAACACACAGTCCAAATTGAACTGACTACCCAAGAGAGACAGAACTGCGTTAAAAAAAACCTTCAAATAATGATTAGAAAGCGTTAATGTTCTGCCTTCAGATAACAACAGTCCAAATTAGACTGACTACCCAAGAGAGACAGAACTGAGTTGAAACTTAGAAAGTGTTAAATCCTGTCTTCAGATAACAACGTCGAATAAAAACAAGCCGGATTGCATTAGTATTTTTTGGCAGTGAGTTTTTTTTGGGTATCCCTCTGTTGCACTGACGCATATAGATGTATACAGCGATCGAAACATTCCGCTCTTCGATTCTGTATATATCCCGGGTATATATGTCAATGAAAGTTGTAGTTTCTCTACCGGGAAAACTGCGTTTAAAATATTGTAAATCAATTCTATTCAATGCGCTTTCTTTCTCAGTAAGGGATTGCGGCGATAAAAATAGAATGGTTGTATTGAGCTTACTTCTAAACCACTACAACCATTACTTTGTTTAAAAAAGCACGGAACAGACTTACCTCAGGCATCCTTCAGCTGATCCTCCGTGTGAATGATCGACGATGTGCATATATATATGCACGCAAACACGAATACGAATGCGTTCACGTTTACAAGCGTTTACTGATCTCAAAAATTCACCGCTTTGAAGTAATCTCGGTTTCACACTGAAACAGGACAACCTACTCGCATGCAATCTTCAGCGCTCGCTGTACAACAGAGCAAAACTGGCCTTTCGATAACGGAACAATTCATTTACCGTGTACAAGTATAAATTGCCATCTTTAAGATTCAGTAGTTTTGGTGAAAATGCTTTTACTTCATGGATGGCGCCGGCAGTGTGAAATCGCCACAACTCACCATTTCCACAGAACGCACCATTTCCAGATATAAATGTACATTATATACATGTCGATCAATCTCTGAGAAGATCAGCCTGTAACTTTAGTGAAAACTCCGACTTGGAGAGCATTTCTACTTACTACTTCACTATTTGCCGCCAAGGTGAAGCGATTTCACCGCCAAAAATTATAATTTATTCTGCCTCCAGAAATGAAAAAGGATCCGCAAAACACAGTGATGGACAACATGACTATAAGAGTTTTGACAGATTCTAACACTATCGGTAGCCGCATCTTAATCTACTTACGGGATCCTGGGGAGAATTTTGTTCCTGGCCTAAGCTCCTCATGACACGAAGTACACGAACTCCATGAACTACAGCGGAACTACCGTGTAGTTTGCGTAGTTCGCAT